ACATGGTCAAGATACTGTGAACAACCACCAATATAACCCCATTGAATGAAGGGAATTTACTTGAGGGACTCAGAAGAATGATGCAGTTTATTATTGCACATAGAAACTCAAGTTCAGATAACATTAGTCAGAGAGTGAAATTTTCCATGGAACAACTCTTCTTAACTGTCAGGAGGAAAATGAACCAACCTGGCAAAGATGTTGACATATCCCAGTGAAATAAAAAAACAATTGCATACTTAATTTTGCATTTTTTTCACCTTAAGATGCATAGATGGGGAATGCTATGACCAGTTTAATATTGGTGTTCATGCTTTAATGTTTCATGGGGCATCTGTCCCTCCATGGAGCTGCTCAGGGAGAGGAGCTGAGCAGAAATCTGGTGTCACGTCACAGGTTCCTTGGGATCCTCGTGGCACTGCTGCTATTGCTGAGGAGCAGAAGCCAAAGGTAATGGCAAAGTGGTTCAGGTGCTGCTCAGAGAGGAGGAAAGTCCACAATTCCCACCCCTCCCAGAGTCTGCAAGGCTGCTTTCCTATTCTGCTGCAACATGGCACTCCAGGAGGAAAGGATGGAAAATTCAGGCAGCAGATGATCAAAAAGTGGTTATTACAGCACATAAAACCAGGGCACTATAACTCCTTCAAAACACAACTCAAACCTTGGTGGTGGCACTAAGCCTTCTTTGGACTGTATCTATTTTTATCCTAAAGAAAGGAACATCTAATATTGCAGATAAGATCCAAGGACACCAGAGCAGGCAGCCACACACAATTGATTTTCCTGCTCCCTTACATTCAGTGCTGCTCCAATGGCAGGTACTGATACAAGTTTAAAAATGTTCTTGGAACTAATCTTCAGCCCACTTTTAACTTAAATAAATCCAAAAGGTAGTATTTCACTATTTGTAAAGGCCCCAGGAAGCAGAGGGTCTGTGCCACCCCTTGAAGGTGACAATGAACTGCAGATGTAGCAAGGAATTGAAATGCAAAGCACCCATCCCCTTTCCTCTTGCATTCCCTGCTCACATTTCTAGCATGGTTTCACCCTGTAACAGGTTTTCTTTTCTCCTACTTGGGGTTTTGAAAGCTCTTTTAACTGAGGCTGTAATGTAAAGATGTAAGCCACAAAGGAAGTTATGAAAAGTATCTTGTTCAGTACTATTTGTGAAAGAAAAGATGAAGGGAACAAAATGCAGAGTTAGCTGGGACAAAACAAAAATGTTTCCACAGAGGCTGGGTTAAAAATCACCGTTTTTGGTGAGGGGTAGTTTTTGGACTGGTTTTTATGTGGATTTTGGTTTGGTTTAGGGATTTTGCTGAGGTTTTTTTTTTTTATTATTTTGGGGTTTTTCCTAATGGCCATAAAGTCTGTCGCATTTTGAGATAAATGTGCAGCAGAGAGATTGTGTTTCTTGGGTGTGCATTTTTACTGACTTTGCTTATGTTCCACCTTTCAAAGAGCAGAATTTGGACTTTTTTTTTTTTTTTTTGTGGTCACAGGGGCAAGTTATAAAGAGCTATCACAAAATATACAGATCTTTTTGAGAAATGACGTATGGAATATATCAGCAGCCTATGCCCGTGTGGGTGTCTTGCATCAAGATAAAGAAAAATGCTGCTGGAGAATTAAGTGCACAAAGCTCTGTGAAGCAAGAATTAAAAGTAATGAGATTAAACAGAAAATAACTACATCAGGAACATGTTAATAAATTAATTAAAGCCTACCAAAGTTGAAGTGTTCCATAATTAAGATTGAAGCACATGAGAGTGCTCTCTTCTACTGGGGATTTTGCCACGGATAATATTACCTGTTTGGAAATGTTTCTAAATCTGTGAGGAAAATTAGGTCAACTGAGATTGTGGCCTGATCATTAACTTATATGATTTTGGACTTTTCTGTTTCCTCAGACCAGCTTTATGGATGATTCAGTATGTTTTCTCTACTGCAGTCTCTTTTCTAGTACATAAGATAAATGTGAATATTGATCTTTTTTAAAAAGAGGAGGTCAAGATTTAGTGCTTATTTCTTCCCCAGGTTTGTTTGCTGAGTCTTCATCTTTGTTTAACTTTCAAGCCAAAAATGCAGAGAACAAAGCAGAGCAAGAAGCAGCACAAAGGCCACCATACTGAAGCACCTGAGATCCATCCTACTAATTAAGGAAAAAGTTATATAGATCTTAACAGGTCTTTTTTTATGAGCCTTTTACGCCTATAAAAATGAAATACTGTGCTTTTTGGAGTAGCAGAGACTGTTCACTGTGACAGGAAAAGGCAACATCTTTCCCATAAGGTGCCCATTATCCATACCCTTTAATTTGTAGAGTAATGTACAAAATACAGAAAATATTTCCATGTTAACTTCTACACCTGCAACCTTTTGTAAGGCCACATGCAAGTTTGCTTTCCCCAAAACCAACTTAGTTTGCTGTTCTGAAATGAGTCACCATCACTTTAAAGGCTCAGTACTATAAATATGGAGATTCCTTCTCTTATCAGTAGTGAACAAGATCAGAACCTCATTTTCCTGCAGTAGCAGTTAAAACTGCACATAGGGAAAAGAAAATGTCTTATTTGCTCTGCAAAAGGCATTTGTGGGTATTGAGCTTGCAAACAGAGGGTGAACACATTCAAGTGTTTCTGTGTCCTAACTGTAAATGGTTATACTTGAAATGTATACCTGTAAAGGTGGTATTTTGGGGTTATGTATAAAGCAGACAATATCCTGAACTGCAAGAAAGAAATTCACATAGGATGGTCCTTCCCATAATCAGCACAGTCAACTACAGAGCCTGGGCAAGTCACAGTGTCTCCTCACAAAAAAAAAAGTTCCTCAATATTTCAGCCTTTTAATTCAGTTGTAATCTCAGTACATGGAAAATATAAGACCCTACTTCATAAATGGGCATGTCCTGAAAGTGCAGTTTGGTGCTGAATCTCAAGTGGTCTCTGCAGCTCCTCTTTCTTTGGGAACACACAACAATAAAACCAGTGCTTCCTTTAAACCTGAGAAGGCACATAAAAGGGCAAGGCCTTGTGTTTTTCATATTGAAGATCTTGGGCGTTGTTCTGCCTGGTGCCCAGTCTGTGCCCATGCAGAATTTCAGTCTCACTTCTAGTGTTCACCTTCCCATCGGGTCAGAAATGAGGTACCTCAGATGCTTTACTGGTATTCCTGATCTGCAGCTAGACAGGAAAACTCTGGTTCCAAAAATCCAGTACCATGCATTTATATGGAGTGGGAAATAAGAAAGACAAATGTTACTCCTGTTCATGAATTTGCCTCTTATCATTTCCCCTCTCTGCTCTGTGGAGAGTGATTCGATTCACACTGGAGGTTATTTGGGTCAGTTTTACTTGGAGAGAGAAAATAAAGGTAAATTCATTTGATTTTAAGCCAATTTAAATAAGAAAATTGATTCTGAATATTTTTGCATAGCTGAATTTAACTGAGGGTTCAGTGAAGCATGAGCTTCCAAATGTGAATAAGAGCCTTTATCTGTTTTCCCCTGTTTGTTTTTACATTTGTTATTTATGATTAGCAATTTTGTGTCATTTATATGCAGTGTACTGACACAGAGTTCAATAAACTAACCTGCTTTGACTTATTAAGCTAAACTTGGTATTTAATTATTACGCATGCAAAGTCAAGTAGAAAAAGTAAGGAGCAAAATCATTGTGGTTTATTTGCAGCAAACAGGAATATCTGTCTTTATGACTTTTAATTAAAAAATTATTAGTTTATTTTAAATTGGAATAAACACCAAAAAAAAAAGAACATCTGTATCAAAGTGTAAAGAACCACAACATTCAAAATCTGTTTGATCTCCTCCATTTCGTTCAAGTGCACAATCTGTTCCATGTAACTTTTTACAATGTACTGTGAAAGAAAATAAGTCATTTAAACTCAGTAATTAGTATTATAGATAAAATGACACTGCAGCAATGTTAATTACCATAACACTGATGTAGTATAGGATATAATACATAATAGTCATATCTTTAATTTTACATTGAAGTGCAACAAAGCATATTGTTGCTACACTTCTGCTTCTTAAATTAAATGAATGTTATTCAAGTGTACATTTGTACCCATGCAGAATATTTTTAAATAAATAAAAACTCTAATTCAAACTGGTATATTTTACTTTCTAATGGCTTAAATTAAAGAACTCCCTGATTTAGAAACTTTTTCTAAGACAGTGGATATCATGACAGAATTATATTCCGTATGAAAAATTTCTGCAATCATTTTCTTTTTCTTTACAGCAGCTGTAAATCGGTTTGCAAATGAAGCACAACATTCAGCCTTTTAAAAAATAAAGATTAATCTCAAGGAGCTATTTGATGTGTAGTAGGAACTAGACATATATAATCAAATTGGAATTAATTCTGTACTTCTCTGGCTAAAAGACCTGACAATTGTACACATAAAATATTCATAACAAAACAAAGAGACTTTCATGGAAAGGCAGTGAAAGTTTTTTTCTGCGGCTCCAGGAGGCATAGAGTTCCCCATTAATGAAAAATTGCATCTCAGCTTCTTGCAGCACCTTTACTTTTGGGTAACTTTGTTATAAATATTAGAAGAAGGGGGGGAAATTAAATTTCAGATTTGTTCAAGTGTACTTTAATAACTTATGTCAGCTGAAATGTTCCCATTTCCTGTGCAGAAATTTTCAAATGAAGCCATTATTCAGACCTGGCAAGAAAAGCACTCTAAAAACATATTTAATTAGAAGTGCAACAGTCCTATTTACCACGTCAGCCCACGGCTAAAATGTGTACGTAGGGTTTTAGCAAAATATTTGAATACACAGTGTAAGGTTCATACAGAAATTGAAGTGTGACCTGAGGTTGGTTGCTCCATCTCACAACCACAAGATGCGTCGCTATATTTGAGCGAAGGCGCGTAAAAAGCAAAATCACCAATCAGTTTGTAAGATTTGCAATTATTTTGAAAAAACCCTTTTTTTTCCTCCTCCTCTCCGCTTTGTTTAGGTCAGTGGGACGATGTACAACACGGGGAGACACGTGTCCCTGCGGTTAGACAAGGAGCACCTGGTGAACATCTCGGGGGGCCCGATGACCTACAGCCACCGCCTGGAGGAAATCCGGCTACACTTCGGCAGCGAGGACAGCCAGGGATCAGAGCACCTCCTCAACGGCCAGGCCTTTTCTGGAGAGGTATGTCACCACTAGGAATTGCCCACCTCTTATTTCTGCCCGAGGGGATTTGCAAGTTAATCTGTAAAAATTGTTTTCCTGTAGCCGTTCTGAAAATCAGGGAATTGTTTTGGGTTTTTTTCTTTTTTAACCAAGCACTGCAAATTTTGTGACTCATTTCTACAAATGACACTGCTGTGTTTATTGTATATAGAGACGCCCTCTATCCTCATCTGTGCTGCTTACAAAGTAATCAGGTCTCTTTGGATGGGGCCTTTATGTCTCTTGTAAAGGCAAGTATGAGATTTAAATACAAAGTAATGCTGGAAGTGCTTCAAATTCCCACAGAAGTGCTACTTTTGCTTCTCACTGGTGCGTAACACTTCAGATTGAGAACCATCCTACCTTTGATTCATGCAGAAACAAGGCAATACTTGATTCTGGAGATTACTCCACAGAATTCTGCTCAAGAAATACAGTTAACTGCACACATAGTCCCTGGCGGAATAGTAATGTTTTATGTTAAATACATGTCTATAACATGTATTTCCTGTCCCAAGAAAGACCATAATTTCTTCATCCTGTTACCTATTCCAGAATGGCCCATCATTCTTGCTGGATAAATATTTTAGTGGCTTAGATGGAGCCCTTTTTCAAGATTTACAATAAAGTTTGCAGACTTTCTGGGCCAAAAAAAAAAAGGAATCCATCCATTTTCCTTATATAGGAGTATTTTCTCATAAAAGAGATGCATGGGGTTTGCAGTACCCCATCCTCCTCCAGCTTAGGCCATGGCTGTGAACGATGCAGTGTCCAACTCTACAACTCAAAATAATGTTTCACAATAATTCTGTGTTACTCTAGGGATTATTTTTAAAGCCACTCTGTTGCCATTCTTTCAGAATACCAAAAAATAACAGCTTTTTCATCATAAAGCACTTATTTTCTCAGAGATGAGTAATCAAATTAACATCTGTATCATGCATCACAGACTGGTGGTGAGTCACTTAATGTGTGGTATTTTCTTTGGCACTGAGCAACAGCAGTTATTTAAGAGTAAGAAATTAATTGCAGCATTGTCATATGATGATGTTATAATTGATAGTAATCATTGGCTTTGTTTTATAAGCTACATATAGCCTGTGGCAGACTTTTTGTGAAATTACTAATGTCTTACGCGACTGATTTTGGTTGCCATTGTTCAATTCTATAAGTGAACCCATCATGTATTGCTCCTTTAAGCATTGAAAGTAAAGGATGCTGTATTAAACAAGGTCTTTGCTTTGCTGTTCAGACACATGAGCAATATTCAAACAAAAAAAAGTGGACTGAACATGAAAGTAAAAATCTGGTTAAAACATACCATGACACTTGTGATGTAGCACCACCATTTCAGATGCTTTAAAAAGTTTTTAAGTTTTTAATTCATCAATCCTAGACTATAACAATGTAAAAATGTAGAGCATTGTTTGGCAATACTTATTGTTATTAGATAGGCTCTTCTAGTTTTGAAAGTTGGAGTTCTGAAGTACTATTAATATTTGGTGTTTTTTAACAGAGACCTCAACATTTCTTAATAAAAGCAGAAAACTGAGCTTAGTGGAAGCTGCTGTCAGTCAGGCACAGCTGGATCTGCAGTGTGTGCAGGATTCATCTTGCTGCCTGAATCCTCCTGCAGTGAATAGAAAGAGCTCAGCACCTTCAAAGGATTAATCAGTCCTGACAGCCAGAGCTGGGTCTCTCAGGACAGGGCACATCGCTCTGTGGAGATGCATTTCCCTTGACAACAGAGCACAGACGAACAGCAGGCAGAGGAGTTGAGATTCAAGGACTCCCTTTCAGATACTCAGATGAATTCTGTCCTTTGAAGGTTTGTTCTTCAAGGTTTCAAAATCTGTTTTGGGCAGGTAGACGGGTGAACTCCAGAAAGGTCAAGCATTAATTACTAATTTGAGCATATACCCACACAGTTAAGTTTTACTTCTAGAACACACTATTCCAAAGTACAAGCCCAGATGCAAATCAGCTGAATGGCTGCAGATTTCCAGGGAAGGGCAGGAGCTGATGGAGTCTTTTGAGTGTCCATCCACCCATGCAAGTGCTGCCTGGATAAATGAGAGCTCTTCCACAAGCTCTCAGCACTGGGGGATGTAACATCTACATCTCTCAGCAGTGAGAGGGGCAATGCTGTAAACAAGCCAGCTGACTTCCCAGGAGAGTCTTTGTGATCTCAGGGGTGCTTTCAAGGCTTGATGCTAATTACTGTTCACTCCTGCCTTAGATAATGGTGTGAGTGGAGATGGGATAAAGAAAAATAACTGCCTAGGTTCATTAGTCTAATTTAGCTGGTGCAGGTAAGAATAGCAATGAATATTTGCTGGCTTAGGCTGTAGGAGCCAGGAGTGCACTGTGTGGCTGCTGACTGCAGACTGAGCTGCCAGGGCTGGCCCTGGTGCTGCTGGTTTCAGCTGTGTTGGACAAACCCTCTGTGGGCTTTCCAGAAACCTCTGTGTCACTGGGGAAACACTTCCCAAGTTACCCAAGAAGAGTGATTGTGCTTGTTTTGCTTTAATTGAGTTTTAGTGAGGAGGGAATGAGCTCAGGCAGGGAATTGATGTAATAAGCTGTTAAGAGCTTCCAATGTGCCTGACAAAAACCAATTGCTGGCTGGCTCTGAGAACTGGCATGCTAATAAGCCAATTAAAGAGTAAAACACGCCCCTGTGAGCTTCACATTTTAAAATTAAGAAACCCCCGGAATTTTTTTTAAATTCTGAGTACACGTAGCAGGCCAGGCTGGCCCCCTCCATGTGGCCGGGTCCCTTCCCAAGGAGCCCTCCAGATAATTGAACTAATGATTAATAGTTCAAAGTTAAGGGCTTTAAACTGTGGATCAGATTATCAACATGTTTGGCACTGGTAACATGGAAAGGCAGGCAGGCTTTGTTATGCTTAAATAAATAAATGGAGTATTTACTTGTCGCTGTGATATAGACTCAAGTGAGTTTAATTCCCTGTTCATTGCAGGAGCATCCTACTGTATTATAATGATTAAAAGAAAACCTTGGCTTAGGCAAAGTCTCCAACTAAGACACCAATCATTTGTGTCTGCTGCCTAATGCCTCTATGCAAAACAGGTTTTAATGCATCAGAGTCTCTATCATTTAATAAAAAACCCATTTTCCATATAATCAGCAGAATTGGCCTGAGTGCCTTAGCTAAGGCACTGTCTGCCTTGTTAAAATAAAACGGTAACAACTTCCAAAAGGTTCATGGTAAAAATGGGACCCTTAAACTTTACCATGTGGCAAAGTCATAAAAAACTTTTATGGTCAATTTTTTTTCCTAAGCATAAAAATGAAAAATATGCTGCAGGAGACCTCAAATCACTTTGCTGCTGTGCATTGTGACAGCCTTATCACTGCCAAGGCAGAAAGTCAAGGAGCTTAATTATTTGGGGTTATGCACTTTTCACAAACTCAGTGGCTGATCACTTTCAAACAAGAGACCATAGTCCACAACACATGAAAAAAAAATTCTTATTTGCCCACCCTTCCAAAAACCCATGGATCAATTATAAACACACAATTATTTAATTTGCTACAGAAGAATTAAAATGAAAGTGAAAGCAGGATCTGAATAAATGGACAAGTATTGCTTTACACACAGTTTGGAGCTGAGATTTACTGCTACTAAAAGCTGCTGAGAAAACCAACACAAAAATACAAGAAAATTAAGATAAAAGGAAGAAACTTGAAGTTCTGAAACACCAATCTCCTCTTGCTACTGCCATTTCTTTAACTGCAGGAGTGTTCTGTGTGAGTAGAGGACTTCTAGTGATAGTAAAGGATTACTTATAGGGAAATCAGTGGTGTAAATCCAACTTGGGATATTTTTAGAAGCAGGACTGTAAGATAGACAGCTTATGAGAACCAGCTAGCCAGCTGGGGTAGTTTAATCCAGCCTGTACCAGAATTAGAGTACTCTGGATTGTTACATCACAAACAGTGGTTCAGTTACTGAGACCTTCTGTGCACCCCAGACTTGCCTGTAAAGTTCTAAACAACCTCCCCAAAACACCTCATGGTGGTGTCATTTATAGAGGAAAGCTTGAAATCAGATTGTATTACAGTGGATTGAATCAATGATGCCAACAGCTTGAAGAAGGAAGTTCAAAATTCTGATTTTTCAGTTGTCACAGGCCACTGGTATTACATTTTGGAGCCTCTCTTGGAAGTGGAGCAGGTCATTTTTAAGTATTTCATCCATAAGATAAATGTACAATATTCCAGCGCTTATTAATGTTGAAAAATCAGCCTCTGGAAAAAGTATCAGCTGAGGGAACACGTGCCTAAAGGAAGGGAGACTTAGTAAAATCTCTATAACCCTAAGATTAATGTTGAGCTTGAAAGGAGAAAGTCAGTAGATAATGAGTTAAATTGCTATAGGAACAGAATATAAATCAGGGAGAGGTGGTAGGATTGTCATCTCTAAAGTATAGGGAGACTGCTCACATAAGTAATTCAAAATCACTGGGAGATGAATATGTGCTTCAGTTGTTAGAATGCACCTCTGTCCTCACAGAAGTTGTAGCATCCACAATGGCATCCGTGCTAACACTCTGAAGAATTAAAATTTACAAGATTAAGCCACATTTATTCCAAGACAGTTTTCTTTCCATTTATCTTTTAATATCTCACATTTATCTGTCTGCATTCTTCTCTTTGCAGTGGATGTTACAGCATATGCCTGCCAAAATGTGATGGTTTAAAATTCAGTAGGAATTAATTAATTATGTTCAGCTACTTTTCAGTGCTTTGTTTGGGGTTTTTAATGTATCTGCCATGAAAACATTTTGTCACTGACGATTTGCCATAGGGACATTAGAAAAGCACCATATACCAAAGCACTGTAACTCTGAAAGTTCTGTCAAAGGTGAAGAGAGTTCTGGATTTTAGCTTAAAAAGGCAAGTCCATTACTGTCCATCTCTTTCCATCATCTCAAACTTTATTTACTTCTAC